CCACCATACCCCCCCAATCCTTAAAAGTTTCTCAGCGGATTTGGGCTGTTCTCAGCTGATTTGGGCTGTACTCGGCAAGCGCAGTGCAGCCCCCAACTCAGATTTGAAAACAAATCTGTGGATGGCTGTTTTCTGACTGGTCGGCAGACCGCCGACCGGTCGGCCCTACTGGTCGGCTGCAAAACAGTCAGCGGTCGGGGTCGGCGGTCGGCAGGTATGCAACACTGGCGTATGTACATCCTTCTTCTTCTCAAAACTGCATTAAATGATCATGGCTCACAAGCCTCAAGGCTTGCTGTTCTTTCCTTTCTATTCGTCCCATAACTAATGGGTATCATCCAACTTTAAGGTATCTCATCCTTTATGTTGCGCTATTCTATTCTATCCTATCCTATCCTATCCTATCCTATGCTATCCAACCTTATTTTCCCCCCCCTATTCTTTCCTACCTTATTCCACTCTATCTTACCCTATCCTCTTGTATCCTATCTTATGCAATCCTGTCCTTTATAATTCTATGCTATTCAACCCTATGCTATCCTTCTACCCTATCTTATGCAGCCCTTCCCTACCCTATCCTATCCTATATCCTTACCTATCCTATCCTATCCTTCCCTACCCTACCCTATCTTATCCTATCCTATCCTATCCTATCCTATCCTATACTATCCTACCTATCCTACCTATCCGATCCTACCCGACTCTACCGGACTATACCCAATCGTACCCAATCCTACCCGATCCTACTCAATGGTACCCGACCTTTCCTGACCCTACCTGACCCTACCCAATCCTACCCGATCGTACCTGACCTTTCCTGACCCTACCCGACCATATCTGAGCCTATCCGCTCCTATCCTATCCTATCCTATCCTATCCTATCATGTGTCACCCTGCCCTATTGTACCGTATCCACAGGAGAGCAGTAGCTAATGTGGTTGGTCAGAGCTTCAATGATAGGTAGAGCTTCAGGAGAAGAGTCAAGCGGATAAGCGAAGAGGGTTGGATGGCTGTCTGACGCGCTGGATGCAAGTTGATTCAGTGATGCCGAGTTCGGTCCGATGTGCTTCCGTTCCCCTTTTCAGTCGGAGGCTAGTTAGTTCATATCCGAGGGTGTGATACCACAGTCCCTAACTTCAGTATCCTGAAGTCTTGTTGCATCCTAGATTAAGAAAAATCGACTGTGCAGCGGGACTTCAGCGCACCCAAGTTAGGACTGTACACGATGCCTTGAGTCTGTTGACTCTGTTGCCTTTTTTTAATATACCATAATAGTATGATAATACCATAATACCATATGCATAAAACAAGAACGAAAAAAAAGAAAAAAGAACGAGACCTTTTTTGACTTTGACAGGCTTGACTCCAATCTATTCTGTCGAGCTTCGCGTCCAGTTCCGTTTCCGCTGCCAAGTCAATGAAAGTAGAATAGAATACCCCCCCCCTCTCTCACACTCACCCTCATTATGGCCAAGGGAATCACTGGCGGCATCAATGTCTTGCTTGTCCCCCCCCCCGAGTCTGTCTGTTGTCAGTGCGATCACCTCAGTTCACCATGTTGAGAAGTGATCTCACTGAGATTTTGACTCAGCAAGCTGTTTTCTCAGAAGCCTGAGTTCGCTGAGTTTGTCGGAGAAGGACTGAGATCTCTGTGGCTACCGTCTTCACCCAAATAGAACGCCCGGTCATTGTAGCTGTTTTTGGGGCAAGTTTCTGTCTAGAATCTAGATACAACGATAATGACAGGGCGTTCTATTTGGGTGGAGATGGTAGTGGCGCAGGGTTGAGAATGTGTGTGACTTGATGCATGGAACTTACCTGTGTGCTCATCTGTCGACTTCATGTAAAGGGGTGGCGATTTTAAGGGGTCTGAGTTAAGTTCTGACTCCTATGTCATGTAGAGTGACTAGTGAGTAATTGTGGGAAAGTGAAGGGGCAGAACGGAAAATTAGGACCGGTGGACAGGAAATGTAAACACTGGGGCCGAAGGAATGCGAAAGTAGGACTGTACAGGGACATAATTTTAAGGAGGCCCGGAGGAATTTCCAGCCACTTCAGAGGAGTGAACCAGCATGGGCTCAGACTCTTGTCTGGCTCTGAAAGAATCCGGACCGAGATTGGACTGGATACGTCTGGTGTTGGATGGGGATCACCAAATGAGATTAAAAAAAGAGTCATCTGTCTTTTCAAGACATCTCTTAAAATTGGAATGCTACAGAGAAGCTGAGCATGGGCCCGGTGTCGAGCATATCGGTCCCTGAAGGGGACCCTCCCCGACCTGTCAAGCGCATCGGTCCCTTAGGGAACCCTCCCACCTGGTGCACTCGGCCGGGGCGGCAAGCTCCTCAAGTCTTTGCGTCCTTGACTCCTGCGTGACGCAGCCGGGAGGGTGCCCTTCAGGGACCGATGCGCTTGGACACCGGATTACAAACAAAACAGATAAAGAGTCATCAATCATTTCCTGAAATTATTACGGTGATAGAGCAGGATGGTCAAGTTCCCCCCTGATCCAACTACCCCTTCCTGCTCTGTGAGGGTACTTGGGTCAAGTATGGCAGGAGATACCTCTCTGACATCCTTATTACATATTAGAGGGACTCCTCCGGTCGAGCACTCTTATTGCCTGAGTGCTCTGCCACTATGCTGCCTCGCCGCCAATAGGTGAGGCCAGGTGATGAGCAGATCATCAGTTTGAAGCTATTTTTAGAAAGCAGGTGACAGGGTCAGATGGATACAAGAATGTTAAGGGCAACCTGCTTTCTAAAAATAAGAGGGAAAAGAAGGAGCGATCTGGTGATTGTAGCATCACTCTAGGGGGAGAGAAGGAGGCAGCTATGGCGGCTAGGGAGCTTCCAGGCTATGGTGGAGAGCTCTCCTGGCCATGGTGGGAGCTGTAAGCCAAGGTGCTTGGGGTCTAGCCTTTGATGCCTCACTTCTTCATGCTCGAGGTTCATGCCTCGCCCTTGTTAGGATAGATGAAGGAGACTACGACGTCCATGGATTTCATCATCGAGCATTGGACTTTAGGAGAGACGCAAGCGCTCCCATCGAAGGGGGTATTTACACCAGGACTTCTCCCAGTGGTTTCTGGTCGTGATTGCCTTCAGATACAATATTCAGGATGGGCCGTTGCGGTCAGATATATCCAGGAAAGCCATAGTGTGAGTATCCTCTCACTTAGTTGGAGTTCAAACTCCGTGTTTTCTTCATGTTACGACACACTTTTCCGACTGTGCTGGGCGACAGAAGTGTGGTGCAGCCCAAACATGAAGTAAACACGCTTTCGAGAGAGAGGGAGTAAACACACTTTTGTAGCCATCACAGCATTTTGCGATGTCTCGATTAATACCATTGGTTAGAGCAAGGAAACTTAGAAAAGTGAGAAACATCCACTTCTCTCTCTCAAATACCTCTCTCTCTCTCACTCCTGTCATCCACCGCTCCTTGGAGTGAGTGAAGTGAGAGAGAGGGAGACGTGTGTGTGTGTGTGTGTGTGTGTGTGTGTGTGTGTGTGTGTGTGTGTGTGTGTG